ACCGATGAATAACAACTCACACAGAGGTTGTGTGAAAAAAAAAAAAGTGTGCTGCAAATTTAGCAACTTTTCTCCTGGAATGAACAATGCCGCATATATTTACCCCAAATCCCGACGGTGAGGTGAGATGGTTTGACATGTACATAAAGAAAGGGTAAGCCGTTGTGTAAAAATAAGCTTTAATATTTTATACATATAGTTACAGAGAGAGAGGATGCAAATTCCCCAATCAAATAATAACAAAGCGGCGTCATCAGTTCCCCGAGGTTTAATATTCTAATACTGCAGGCCGAATGTGAAGGGTGAGCTGTACAGGGACGCTGCACTGCCCTAATCGGAGGTAATGGACTGTGTACTATATGAAATGGAAGGCCATGCTCTGGGGACATCATCACTTCCAATCAGATATCGGTAAGACTTTTCATTGATATACCTAATATACTGTAGAGTTATTAGTTCCCATTAGCGTCAGTGGCATGCCCTTATGAACGGTCTCTTGCTTGTACATCCGCAATGCAGTTAAAGATTGAATGTCCAGCAAAAATGGCAGTCACATGGGTTGGGACAAACTATATAACACTGCCAGGGGTTATTACAATAACCTTTTAAACGTTTTTTTTTTTTTTCTAAATAAAGGAAAACGCTGCTGTAATGCCCATTTACAACTAATGTCCATTTAAAATTAAAGTCTATTAAATCAATTTAAATGGACTAAAGTTCATTTAAGACTATATGTTTCCTGTGTTTCCTTGAAAGTAAGACCTAGCACTATTTTTAAACGTTCCTGTAATAGAAGACCTACCCCCGAAAATAAGACCTAGTTTGGGGGCGGCCCAGAGAGCAACCAGAGTACATGGCGGGGACTAAGCGCTGTGCCGCAGCTCCCGCATGCTGCCCCTGTCACGAAATCAGCAGACACCTAAATTTCCCAGCAGGCAGCGGCACAGCAAGGAACGTATGGCCAGTGGGGTCGGAGTGAGGTGACTGAGCAGTTCAGCCTGGTGACGAGAGAGGTGACTCCCTGGTGGGGATCCCACAGAGAACCGTGGACGGCATCAGAGAGGAGAGCTCCAGGACAGCTGCAGCCTGCAGGTATTGTGACAGTACTTAAAATAAGATCTAGTGTGATTTTTTTTTTTTTGCGGGAAAAAACATATAAGACAGTGTCTTATTTTCGGGGAAACACGGTATCTACCACAGAGTGACAACATTGTTGTGCCGTTTCACTGCTGAACGAACTGCGTTGCCACTCTGTTAAAGCAAGTTGTAAAATGAAATCTGCTGGCAGGGTCAACAGATCAACACAACTATTGTATTATTGCTAGTAACAAATGGTACTGAACTGATAATCCAGAAGAGAGGCCATTCCTATCTGTACAGAACTATATTTCCCAGTGGTTCTAATATTTTGTGCCACGTATTTAGTGGTTTGTCATTTTTAAATGGGGTCAAGACGTTCATGTACTGTATGTAAATGCTCCCTTGGAGTATGGGAGATGGTGTACATTGGCTGGACACTTGGTTTGGTCCAGTAGAGGATGCCAATTCTTTGGTCATCTTGTTGTGGACATGACTGGACATCTTCTAATGGGCCTTATAGAAAAAAAACAGTGCTTTGATACCTTGTGGTGGGTCTAGTAGATGATAAAGAGTACTTTGACATCTTATCTTGGGAGTCGTAGATGGTGCAGAGCGGAAGAAAACATTTCAGTGGTCATAGTAGATGGTGCAGAGCGGAAGGGCTCATTTCAGTGGTCATAGTAGATGGTGCAGAGCGGAAGGGCTCATTTCAGTGGTCATAGTAGATGGTGCAGAGCGGAAGGGCTCATTTCAGTGGTCATAGTAGATGGTGCAGAGCGGAAGGGCTCATTTCAGTGGTCATAGTAGATGGTGCAGAGCGGAAGGGCTCATTTCAGTGGTCATAGTAGATGGTGCAGAGCGGAAGGGCTCATTTCAGTGGTCATAGTAGATGGTGCAGAGCGGAAGGGCTCATTTCAGTGGTCATAGTAGATGGTGCAGAGCGGAAGGGCTCATTTCAGTGGTCATAGTAGATGGTGCAGAGCGGAAGGGCTCATTTCAGTGGTCATAGTAGATGGTGCAGAGCGGAAGGGCTCATTTCAGTGGTCATAGTAGATGGTGCAGAGCGGAAGGGCTCATTTCAGTGGTCATAGTAGATGGTGCAGAGCGGAAGGGCTCATTTCAGTGGTCATAGTAGATGGTGCAGAGCGGAAGGGCTCATTTCAGTGGTCATAGTAGATGGTGCAGAGCGGAAGGGCTCATTTCAGTGGTCATAGTAGATGGTGCAGAGCGGAAGGGCTCATTTCAGTGGTCATAGTAGATGGTGCAGAGCGGAAGGGCTCATTTCAGTGGTCATAGTAGATGGTGCAGAGCGGAAGGGCTCATTTCAGTGGTCATAGTAGATGGTGCAGAGCGGAAGGGCTCATTTCAGTGGTCATAGTAGATGGTGCAGAGCGGAAGGGCTCATTTCAGTGGTCATAGTAGATGGTGCACAGCGGAAGGGCACATTTCAGTGGTCATAGTAAATGGTACACATTGGTTGGACACCTTCTGGATGTTCATAGAAGTGATGGATAGTGACAAGACATCATTACTTGGCTCTAACGTTGGGCAGATTCAGTAAATTGTTGGCTACAGCTTAAGTGCAAGATGTCCATTTAGGCATTTTTTGGTAGGTCTACTAGGCTATGGGCTTGTAGATGTGCACAGGAGCTGGTAATCTTGACATGGCTTGATGCTGTACATATGAAGAACATTATGTGGTATGTCTAGCTGGTGATACACAAGAGGTGCACTTCTTATAGTCTCCTAGATACACCAGCGGAAAGCTATAAACAACGGGGAATGGTGTGGGTTTAATAGATGGATGCAGAAACTTTGGTCCAGTAGATATACACAGTAGCTGACCATCTTGCGGTTGGCTTAGGTGGATCTAGATACATGGTTCAGAATCCCATAACTGAATCTCTCAATATAAACAACTTACTCTTCCTAGATATCAGTCTAGTAGGCCGTTCCATATATAGAACTCGCTAGCCTACTTCTTTGAGTTTCTGGCTCCAGTTTCTGGGATAAAACATTCAGGATCTGGTGGAACTTCTTGTATCTTTCACTTTGTTCAACGGTAGCACCTTTAGTCCCCCAGAACATCCTTAGGGAGAACTCCGTCTGGAAGGCCTCTCTTAGTTCGGGCTGAGGAACAAACCCTGCAGAGTACAGAGCAATAAACTGTATGAATGCAAACCATCTTGTCTCACCAGAACCCAGTTACCATCATTTTATTATTTAGCCATTGCCACCCATCCCTTGCTTTCTGTGTTTCACCTTCTAATCTTCTAACCCATCTCTTAACCTTCATCCGTTTCACAAAATGTATTTTCTCTGCTACTATTTCAAATGTAATGTCACCCAAAACTGTTTTTGGATCGGGTTCAGGGTCAGGACTCCTCACGGGTTGCTGTCTGTCCCCTTGGGAAGGTTTCCTGTTCAGATGCCAATTGTCAAAGGTGGGCTTTCTATTCACAATGTAGATCAGGGTCCAACGCTAGTCCTCGAGGGCCACATACAGGTCAGGATTTTTCCAATTAACAATTTTGACTTTTTTTGTAAACCCCTTACTTAAAGAAATAGTGAAGAGGTGTATGGATCCTGATTCTTGAGGACTGGAGTTGGACACCCCTGGTAAAGATATTTTTTATTTTCACTCCCTTCCCATGTCTATGTGAAATTTCCCCAAGTGTGACACACACAGCAGCTTTAGTTGAGTTGGATTTTAAAGGATAACTTCAGTTTCTGCCTTAGATGTCCATCTAAGTGAATTCATTTGATCGAGGGTTGGCATAGATTACAAAGAGACTCTGAAGGCCAAAGCTGGGAATCTCTGGCTCATAGAATCTCTGGCTAGGGATCAATGGTTCTTAGGACAGCTGGTGCTGAATACTGGAGGATTTTGCTCTCACCTGTTAGCTTGTTCTCAGCATTATTATGATAAGTCTCCTCATTCGCGGCGTATGTTCGCGCTGCTTGCAGTACACGCAGGAGCCGCCCACAGCTCTCCTCCACCGGGCCACCCCAGTCGTCTTCTCCTTCCAAGGCCTTGAGAACTGGCAGAATGTACGGCACCACTATATTGGTTGGTGATGGCAGTGACATGCCTGTTAAGTGGGATAGAAGAAAATGTCATATACTGAACACATTGAATGGTGTCCGATTGTATTCTTTGCATACCTTATTTCTTTTTTTTCCCCCAGGCTTCTGACAGTGGCCATGTTTACTAAGGGCAGATTACTAGATCTCCTTTTACTTCCTGGATTTCTGGCACATGTGACTAGATATGTAACCATGCACATCATCTCAGGGGAGGAAAATGCCTTTTCCTTGAGATCTTCAGAGATTACAGATGAGATTTCCCAAACTGAAGTCATTTTGCCCTTTTAAAGCAGGAAGTGAACGCTCTGCAAGTGCAAGTATTTAATTATCACAGCACTTTACACCTGACATGTCTGTGTTATTATTAATCATCACACATAGAGGGATGCATTGGTAGAATTTGATTTTTTAGTGTAATGGTCTGCTTTCACCAAACATTTAAAAGGTAAGTTATTTTTCAGTAATGCGTGTGAATAGGAACACATAATGACCATGTAGAGGGGTTTTCCAAAATATGACTGCGAAAGTGGAAATACGCTTTAAATACCCCCTAAACTTAACTACCCTTTCAGTGGAGCCTCCCCGCTCTGCAAGGATAGTTTAACCTTGTGCCCCAAGTTGGGCTTTAAGGCCATCTACACACAAGATTGGGTGCAGATGGACCTGCTGCTGCAAGAATGTATATGGAAAGGGCTTTTCATTATAGACCATGCAAGCAAGAGATATGGCAAGCGCAGGATAGTTTCTGACTATATCACGCCATTAATAAACCCTTCCCAGCAGACTACGCATATATGTAGCAGCACGAGGGTGGTCCTTAATCCATGCAGCCACATATAGTGGGAGGGGGATTAATTGATGCTGTTGAAAATAACTGCTTGATTAATATTCAGTTGATCCCAGATTTGGAAAGGGGAAAAAGCAATAATTAATTGTAAAACTACATTAAAAGAACCTGACCTGTCCAATGGCTTCCATTCATTCTGTAAACAGTCGGTTGAAAGCTGCTGAATTAAACACTAGATTTGATTGGACTACTGAATCGCAATGTGTGTGGGCACCATAACTCTTCCTCTTTGGTAAATCTGTCCATATAAAGTTGTGGAATGAACTTTGTAGGTACCTGAGTGTTCATATCTTGCTGCTGCGTTATTTTACAGCCGCCTATGGAATGTCTCCATTCCATGCAGGTAATACACACTGTACCGGTAATATTTATGGCAAGCCTATATCCTTTATCAAAAGGTGGTGCAGGTCAGGGGGGTATAGGGACAATCCTGAAGTTTATCAGGAAAAAAAGGATAACTTACATTCCTCCATTTCCCGTAAGGCCGGCTTCAGCTGTTTGTGGAAGGCGATGGCGCTGTCGGTGTGCGTTTGTCGGAGCGCTTGCCACGTTAGTTCTAGGCGGGCAACCTGCAATAACAATTTTGTTGCATCAGAGATTGCTTCTGAGATGGAAGAAACCGAGAAGCCTAATCTTTCCTTAAACAGATAAAATATGTGTATTGCCTACCAAAATATGGTACCATTCTGTTCAGTCATTCTTGGGATTCCCTCTCGGCACCCACACTACAAAACCCGCAGAGTGACTCTGCTGCCGATGTGACCGTGTTTCATGTTACACCCTGGATATGGGTATAGCATGAAACATGGTCCAACAGGTGGACTTAGCTTTTCAAAATTGTACTCTATCATGCATTCTCCCGCTCCGTGAGCCTCCTTGTTACCTGGGGCAGTGTCAGGGCCTTCATAACAGCCGAGAAGCCAAAAAGATCTCCAGCAAAGTCTTTCAGCTCTATCGCCAGGTGGATTATGCGGTGCAGGGTGTGCGCTCTCTCTGTCACAGCTCCGGTACAGCCCAGGATATCCACAGCTACCCCCAGAGACAGCAGGTGGTGCCTAGGGACAGAAGGTTAGATTAATAGTCACATCCTTCATACCCAGTAGCCTTGATTTTGACCGTTGGCCATGACATTTTACATTGTTGATGGTAAGCAATGGGTGACTTGCTCGCCATCCTGTGCAGTAGTAGCTTCCCCCTCACTTTTTTATTTTATTTTTGGACTGAATTCCAAGAATTTCCTTCAAGGTTTCATGGAATCTCAGTAGGTACCACTGCAACTAACAGCTATATTCACATTGTTCATGTGTAGGTGTCAATGGGCCCATATTATTTTTACTTTTCCCTTTCATACTAAACTGCATTGGATAGATGTGAACCAGCCACATAGGAAATAGTTGCATTTTTAGTTGCAGCGTATCTTCATGCAACAAAATGCAGGCCTTTTACTGCATGACAAAGGATAAGTGTGAACTCCCAGGACAACAAAAACTTACCCTTGTAGTGGGGTTACCTCTGCACTACAGGGGTTACGTTCTTGCTTTGTCTAGGAGGTAAAAATATAGAAGATATAATCACCCATTCCTCGGTCCCTCCGGCTTGCTAGACCGACCCAGCATTCATTCAATGGATCATTCAGTATGACGAAACTTACCATTTGATCACTTTCATGAGGTTTTATTAATTTCAGCAGACGATCGGCCGTGGAGGAATTTCGTTGACTGCCTTTGCTCACTTACAACAAATATGTCGGAGAATTGATCGTAAATCGGATGGAATAAATGATAGTTTTCAATAATTGTTTACTTTTCTAACTGATAGAGCAAGGGATAGGCAACCTCAGCACTCCAGCTGTTGTGGAACTACAAGTCCAATTAGGCATTGCAAGACTCTGACAACCACAGACACATATCATGCCACGGAGGCATTCATAGCTTCAGCACATCTGGAGTGCCGAGGTTGCCTTCCCCTGCATGAGAGGGTCACTTGAAATAAAGCTCTGAGTCTACTGGGGCTGCTGACATTACATCCAGGATGGCAGCGCCCAGTAGCAGTGGGGGGTAGATCATGTTTTTGATCAATATTTGTGATCGTAAAACTACAGAACAATGCCGCCCATGTTGCGTTGTTCGATATTTAAATGGATGATAGGTTGCCTGCAAATCAATCTGTGCATGGTCTTCATACACTTGAAGACCAGTAGGGTGCGTACCTAAACTCTCAGCTCGTGCATGCGATAGGAAAAGACAATGCAGCTGCATTTATCATTGGCCTGGTTTTGCTCTCTGTGTTGTGTTTAGTCACCCTGGACACAGAAGAAGCCGGTTAACAATAGTCTGATCTGCAACACATCACACTGGCTGCCTCTGCCAAGAGCAGTTATATCCCTCTGGGAAACCTTCATTCCATCTGTGGGAGCTGGAGCGCCAAAGACTCAAATTCCCCCCACACAGCCAAAGAGCAGCTGTGATCTCTACAGCCGCCCATGCTATCAGCCAATCACATTCCAGTTTACATTGGCTTTGAGCAGTCGGAACAGTGCAAGCTGATTGCTCATTGGCTGTTCTTCTTTGCTGGTGATAATTACTGGTACCATTTTGGAAAAACCCTTTTCTGATTTTCCCACGTGGTGGTCACTCTTAGCACTTTGTAGCTGTGGAAGCTGAACTCCAGGCAGATATTAAAGAAGAACTCTGGGGTTTTATAAAACTTACCCTTGCAGTGGGGCCACCCCTACACTGCAAGGGTAAGGTGTTCATTTTGTCTAGGGAGCTCAAATATAGAAGACGTACTCACCTGATCCTCGGTCCCGCAGCTGTCAGCACTCACCTCACTCCTCAGCTTCGGCTGTAGTATGTCCCTCGGCGTTCTCACATCTAATGCAAGTCAATGGATCTGTATTAGATGTGATGACGTCAGTGACCCTTAGGCCAGCGGATAGAAGAGGCTGCGGGGACCGTTCTAGCAGCCTATCAGGACCGAAAATCAGGTGAGTATATCTTCTTTGCAAGGGTTAAAATGAGCATTTTAACCCTTGCAGTGCAGAGGAGCCCTGGGTAGCCTTATTACTAGGGTTAGTTTTGCAATTCCTGGAGATGTAAGGAGATTTCCTCTCTTCCTGTTGCAGCTCTGGGACAGGAAGTGACGCATGCAAAATAATAACACTGACTTTTCTACTCTAAACAGCTAAAAAAGGAAAGTTTTGTCTATACATATGCTTTAAAGTTTGGGTTGCATCACTCCAAAGCCAGGAGGAGACAGGAAGAGTGAACAGTGATGACCTATTCTGGTGCCTGTTTCATTGTCCAGTCCAGGCTGGGGTTGGGTTCAGGACCTG